CCCTCCCTCACTTGGTGTGTCTACAGAGGAATATGAAGTATACATGAAGAAACAGGAAGTGACCTTTAAGACTGAAATGACAGCCATGGTACCAGAGCCCACAGTGGGAGACATCCCCCCTGTCACCGTGACGACCATGGAGCAGATGACCACCACCATCATCTCTGGACAGGTAGGAGCGGCAGCCTGTCGAGAAAACCTGGAAGATATCGAACCTTTAGTCCAATGAAAGAGATAGCCTGGTCCAAGCTTTGCCTTCCTGTAAATGTGTTTTGATAATAAAGCTGCTCTGTGCACATTCATACAAGCATCTTCAGAGCATAAGCAGAAGGTAACTGGGCTCATTTTATTTGTAAAATCCCTGTCTCACAGCACTTAAAGATGGTCTGTTCACACATTAAGGCGTGTAGTTCCTGCCATGGAGTAAAAATCAAATAAAAGGGCCCCAATTCTATACTAGAGATGTCTCTGTTGGAGACACATCTCATTAACCAGACTACGCCTCATCTCAACAGGAGTTCCACCTGTCCACCATCGAGCTAAGGATCATCCAGGAGATTGAATTCAGCATCATGCAGTTCAGCTACAGAGAGCTGGTGGTGGAGGACGGGGAGATGCTGGTGACGGTCGCAGAGGAGGAGGCGGTTCAACCCGCGTTCGACACTCCCGTCAAAAACTACAGGATCAGGGATGGGATGGGCGTCACCTTCCACTGCAGGATGGCCGGACACCCTCTGCCCAAGGTCAGTCCGTGGGGAACTCCAGCTCTGAACCGCTTCACTGGATTTCCTTCAGGTTTAGCATAAACCTTTGGATGGCACAATTGACTGATTGTTTCTGTCGTTTGTTCATTTCTGTCAGATCGTCTGGTTCAAAGACGGCCAGCGCATCAGGCAAAGCGACAGGTACCAGATGGAGGTCCTGCAGGACGGGCGGGCCAGCCTGCGGCTGCCCGTGGTTCTGCCCGAGGACGAGGGCGTGTACACCGCCTTCGCCTCCAACATGAAGGGGAACGCTGTGAGCTCCGGGAAGCTGTACGTGGAGCCGTCTGGAGCCGTGACGCCTCAGAGATACACCCCACAGCCCGCAGTGCAGAGGATCAGGTCCGTACAGCAGGGGGGGGCAAAAGGGGGCCCCGGGGGGGGGTCAGAGTAACTCAATTCAATTGCATTTTATTCAATTTTATTTATATAGCGCCACATCACAACAACAGTTG